GTAAGCCCGGGCGGGATGAGGGGCCTGGGAGGAGCCCCGGTCTGGTCCATGGAAGGCCCTGGTCACTGACAGGGCAGGAGTGCAACATTCAAGTTTGACTGGGGCTATTTCCTTAAGAGAAAGACTGAATCAAACTGATTTCAGTTCTAGAAACGCAGTTATTGGAGTGTAGTCCATAAAATACGCCCTTGGGGCTGGGAATTTAGCTCAGCAGCACAGCACCTGCCTGGCAAGTGCAAGATCATGAGTTCGATTCCCGGTACTGAAAAAAAAACAAAAACAAAAAAACAAAACGTAAAATACGCTCTTTTGAGGGAACAAAGAATTGGCAGCTTGTTGAGTCCATGCTGGGACCCTGGGCCTGCACAGCGGCCCCTCTCTCCCTGCCGTGAGCACCCAAGCCACAGCAGGTCTGCTCCGGGGGTTCGGTCTGCAGCACCGTCCTTGCAGCCCTCAGCCACTGTCTGCTCTAGGGCTCCATCCACACCTGAAGGCCCTGGGCGGTGGGAAGGGCGGCCAGGCGTTGGGCCCTGCTGTGCCAAGGGCTGGCCACAGTACTGTGCAGCCCGAGCTGTACATCCTCTCCCTCGGAGGGCAGGTACCCAACCTCCTCGCTCTGGTTCTGATGCTCCACCTGGCCGTGGTAGTGGCGGTGGCAGTGGTGGCGACCATGCCTGATATCTCAGCTCTCTCCTGGCCTCCCCTGCTTCAGCTGCCACACTTGGGCTCCACCATCAGGCACACAGGGCTGAGTTCCCCAGGCCTTGGGCTCCTTAGACCTGGGTCCAAGGCAGGGTAAGTCTCCATGGCCCGTAGTACACAGTGGCTGGTGGAACATGGTCACCAGCAGAGCCGGGCAGCCAACTGGCCAGCATTTCCTGCTACCAGGGAGACCTATGCCCACTTGCAGGCTCTGCCACCACCCTGCCCAGGCTGGGTGGCTCCTTCAAGGCCTCTTTGTGCCTTGATTGGTATCAGGGCCTTGTGGCACCCTGTTGCGTGGCTGGACCCAGCCACATGGACACCTGCTGACTGGACATGTCCGTTCCCCAGGGCCTAGGCCTTAGGGCTGCCCACGGAGGACACAGCTGTGGGACTGTCCCCAAGGGCCATTCCCGTGCACTGTCGTGGCTGAGGAAGGAGGTGGGGAGTGGGCAGCCAGGGCCCCAGGGGGCTGGGAGGGGATGGGGTTACCCACACCCCATCCCTGGGTGGTGTGGGCCCCAGTGTCCCATGAGGATGAGCACCCGGGTTTCCACTCTCCGTGGTGCCGCTGGGTCTCTAGCCCCCGTCTCCAGAGGGCTGGGCTCCTGGGGCCAGCAGGGCCAGCAGAGTGCCTATGGGGGACTCGGAGTGGATGCCATGTGGCAGAGGTGACCGTGGTGGGAAGCCACATGCACCCGTGCCAGGCCCCCCCCACCAGTGAACTGTCTGTCCCCTGGCACAGCTGACCCAACCACGTCGCCTTGGAAGGCGCTAGAAGGCTGTCCCTTGCCACCACTGTGTGTGACTCTCGAGGTACAGAGAGCTGCGCCCGGCCCAGCCCACACTGACGGCTCTGTTGTCTTGGTTTTCTCAGCTGGAGAAGAAGCAGGCCCTGCCCCCCTTCCAGCCACAGATCACAGACGACTATGGCCTGGACAACTTCGACACACAGTTCACCAGCGAGCCCGTGCAGCTGACCCCAGATGATGAGTGAGTCTGGGGACCCTCGGGGCGGGACCAGCCTGGCGACAAGTGGAGAGGGCCCCCGCCAGCGTGGGTGGGGCGGGTACCCTGCTCTGGCCTCTCCTGACTTCCTCCTGTGGGCTGGTGGGGGGCCCCTGCCGGCATGTGCACACGGCCACCACTGTCCCCTCTGCTTCCAGGGATGTCATAAAGAGGATCGACCAGTCGGAGTTCGAAGGCTTCGAGTACATCAACCCGCTTCTGCTCTCCACCGAGGAGTCCGTGTGAGGTCGCGTGCGTCTCTGTCGTGGACACACCTGTGAATGACCCTGTAACTTTATCCTTAACCACAGCATATGCATGCGAGGCCGGGCACGAGGCTCCACGCAGCCAGGGAGGGACGCGGCCGCTGACACGCAGAGGGACAGAGCAGCCTCTCGCACCTGTGTCCGCAGAGGCCGGCTCTGCTGGAGGAATGAATGGCTTCTTGTGCCCGCGCCACGTGGCCGGGGCCGTGGTGGCCCTGCCCCTGGGGGAGACTGTCGCGCCGCCAGAGGTGCGCGTTTCGGCAGAAGCAAAACTCAGCGCGCTGACCGCTCCTCCAGGGAAGTGAGCGTGTAATGTCCTGAGGAATAAAGTGTACCGATGGTGTCGCAGCCTCCCTCTGATGCCTTTTTTCCAAGTGGCACCTGCCCAAGTCCCGGGCACAGCCGCACAGAGGAGAGCTGAGCCCACAGCAGGCCGGCAGGGCGGGGGGCACGGGAGTCCAAGTGCCTACGGGGACACGCTGAGAAGAGGGGCTGTCAGACTCAGAACAGCTCCTGTCCCGGTAAGTTCCCGTCGCAAGTCCTTAGCGCACACTTCCACGCAGAGCTGAGGCCGCGGCTGGGCCGACCCAAGCTGGGCACTGCCCCGCCACCTCCATGGACCGCAAGAGACCACTGGATCGCAGAGTCTGGAACACGCCACCAAAGCATCAGTGACCAAAAAGCAAAACAGCAATGAAAGGAAAAATAAAATTGAGAACTGATTGTGCACAAGTGTATTTCTGAGAACATGAATCAGTGCCTCCAGGATGTCTTGGTTCTGTATTAGATTTTTGGAAAATATTTTTATCAGTAATACAGTGCTCAGAATTAGAAAACTTAAAAAGATACGTGTGTGATGGCCCCTAGCCTTAAAGTTGACCATATGCCCTGAACACCCATAACCACCTTGTCCCGTGAAGCGCGGCCCTGCGCTGCTCCTCCTGGGGATGGCAGCTTTCCGGAGAGCTCAGCCAAACCTTTCACAGGCCAGTGCGGCAGGGGCCTCCTTCCAGCCCTCGTGCCAGGCACTGGAGGACGGGGCCTGTGCTCATGTGCTAGAGGCCGGTCCCGCACCAGGGCTGGTGGGCTGCAGAGATTAGGTTAGGAAAGTGTAAACCAGGAGGAGAGGCACTGGCCCTGCCATCCGCAGACGGCGCTCACTCTACACTCAGGTCTTGCCTCCTCGTGGCTGGGCTACACGCTGGTGACCCACACTGGGCCAAGGTGCTGGGACAGAAGCTGCGTGCTGGATGCTCCTGGGGCTGCATGGCGGCGCACAGGTTTTGGGGCGCCCCACCCCTGGGTGTCCCTCTACCTTCTGGTCCTGGACACATCTCAACCAGCACCCACGCCAGAGGCTGAAGTGGGGAGACGCAGAACAGAGTCCCACAGCCAGCGTGGGGCCATGTGGGTTGTCACTGCTGCTGGGATGCAGCAGAGCCCCCAGCGAGTCCACGCGTGGCCGCCTTCCGAGCCCTTGCCACGGACTGCTGCCATGGCCCTGGGTTCCTCAGATTTGGAGGCATTTATTTAAATACTGCCCTGTTGCCAAACAGACTGTGGTTGCCAGCCTGGCTGCTCCGGTACCAATGTGTGAATATCATGCCCGTCAGAAGGGGAGGTTTTTAAACACAGTACACTGTTTTATAAATTAAAGAAAGGGAAGATACACTGGGGTGTGCTTGGGAAAAGCCTGAAGCTTTGTGGTGGGTCCGCGCAACCATGTGACTGCGGGCACGGCTCCTGACGCTGGCGACCCCGTGGTTGTAAAGCGGTGCTCACGGCTGTTGTGGGCACAAGGGGACCGTGGCCGGCCGGCTCTCCCGCTGTGGGGGATGTTCTCACCCTCCACGCCGAGGCCCTTCCTACTCTTGCATATCTATTAAAGACGTTCACAAAAATGCACAGGTGGTTACTATTTTTGTTAAAAGTAGGTGTTTCAGGGAAGCAGAGGGTTTTAAAGCCACTCTCTCATACTTGGTTTTTCAGGGCAGTTTTACCAGCAGCTCAGAGGTCCAGGTCCCCTGCAGTCGCCACCACACACACCCAGCTGTCACCGCCGCTGCTAGCTGAGGTGTGGCACAGCCCCGACAGTCTCAAAGCCCCGAAAGCCGTGTGCTCCAGCCCTGTCTCCTGTGTCCAGTCTGGCCTCTTTCAGCAGGGCGTGGAGTTGGGGGTCACACGCACATGGCTGGGAGGGTTAATTTCCCATGTCAGTGGATTAAGGAATTCAAGAAAACCAGGGGGAGTGTGACCTCAGGTGTCTCTGGAGGGCTTAGGGTTAGAGGTGGGTGGGAGGCCCCTGCATCCTCCTGGCTCTGCCTGAGACCCTAACAGTGACCCCGGCACATAGCGTCTTCACCCAGGACACACGCCAAGGGCTCTTTGGTGTCCACCCATGGGACTGGGGTGACACAGGCTCTGCACACAGGAAGGCACTCGGCCCCCGGCCCGGCACGTCCTTCGGTAGGACAGCACAAGTTTCTGGGGGTCCTGAGCCTTTGCACCATGCCTGCCCCCTCTGGGGCCAGCCCACTGCTGCCACAGCCAAGGAGCCAGGCCCAAGCTCGCGCCAGAGCTGGGGTGAACAGCACAAGTCACCGTTTTCCACTCACCTGGCAGCATGAAGCAAGCACAGCAGACAGGCGCAGCCCGGGCCCTCCAGAGATTCCCCGTTGAGGAGAGGCTACAGCAGGCACGGCAGTGCCCAGCACCTTTGGAGGCCGGGGCAGGAGACCTCAGGTTCAGTTCCAGTCTGGGCAACTCAGTGCCTCAGCAAGACCCTGTCTCAAAACAAAATATCCTAACAGGAGTTGGGAATGTGGCTCAGTGCAAAGGCCCTGTGTTCAGTCGCAGGACCGCCCAAGACCACCGTGTCAGGTCGCCTGGGCCAGCTGTGGGTGCCGAGGCCCCGACTGACGGTGAAAGGGCTCTGCTGCCGCAGGGGAGGGCACTGTTTTCTGTTTTCATCACAGGCCTCCACCCTGACACCTATGTCAGAAAATAAAAACCAACAGCCTGGTCTCACCAGCGAGAACCCAATTTAATGTGCAGGCCTTGGGGAGAGGGTTGGGCAGGGCGCTGGGTCCCCACAGCTACCACTCCACGTCTTCTGTGCTCTCGGCCAGACACTGTGCGAGGTGGCTGTCCACGTCCAGCTGGGTCAGCCTGTGGGATGAGGAGACGCGTTAGTCGGCCTCGCAACCCCTGGGAGGTGGGGCAAGCTGCCTGGGAGCAGCCAGGGCGGTCACACTGGTGTCCCCTGCCGTGGGGAGCGCGCAGGGCTCCACCCCAACAGCAAGCGCAGAGCCCGGGAACCCTGGGACCTGGGTACCACCATAAGCCATGCAGCAGCTGCCCCCAATGGCCAGCTGCAGGCCGAGACTTCTGGCCAGGATGGGCTGGACGTGCAGATAGGGCAGGCACTGCCCAGCGGGTGTGATGTCAATGGGCACCAGGCAGCCCTTCTCCCGCAAGATGGTGCCCTGCCTGGAGGGTACTCTTCTCAATGAAGAGGACCAAACTCCACTATTGGGATTCACTCCGCAGGGCTCAGGGCTCCTCGTGATCCCGGGAGGCCCCACACCTCAACCATAGGCGGGCAGCACTGGGCTGGGGCGGGAGGGGCCCAGGAGAGGCCTGGGATGAGGAGGCCCGAGCCTGATCTCAGCAGTGGCCGAGCACAGGGGACCGTGGGCATCACCTGTGCCTCCCCGGGGTGGTCAGGGTCCTGCTGGGGTCACAGCCCCTGCCACAGGGTTGCAACCTAGAGTGGCCAGCACAGCTACCTCCTGCCGCCCTCCCTGGCTCCACAGCCCCCGCCCAGCTCCACTCCCTGGGCTCTGCTCTGCATCCTTCCATGCCCCCCACAGCCGGTCTGTGTGGCCACCCCAGCCTGGAGTCCCCTCTGCAGGCCAGAGGGTCCACCACACTCATCAGGGCAGAGCAGGCCCTGCAGCTCCTCCAGCTGGGCCCCCAGGTCTCCCAGCAGCCACCTGGCCTGTTCCACATCACACACTACCAGCCAGCACCCGATCAGACACCACGTGTCCTGAGGACACCATGCCTGCCAGCCAAAAGATGCCTCCCTCCCTGCACATGCCGGCACTGCCCGCCTGCCAGCTGAACAGCTGGGGGCAAGGGCCAGCAGGGAGATGATCCCAGCCCAAGTCCAGACCAGGGGCCCAGGACAACCCTTCTTCAGGTGACACCTCACCCGATAATCCCCCACCCTGCTGCTCCGGGTCAGGGACCTCAGTGCTCTCCGCCACAGGGTGTAAGGGCCACATCCCTACCCTGGGCAGCCCGCCTCCTCATGCCTCTGCCGGGCGGCAAAGGCTTTGGTCCATCCCTCCTGGGAGTCCAGGCATTGTCCCTAGACTGGTGACCCTCAGACCTTCCTCCAGAACCTGCCCTGCAGGGCAAGACTACAGGGTAGAGCACACCTGTAATCCTATCACTCTGGGAGGCTGAAGCAGGAGGATCAAAAGTTCCAGCCCAGCCTTTGCAAGTGAGCCACTTGTTAAGGCCCTGCCTCAAAATAAACAAGCAGAAAGGGCTGGGATGTAGCTCAGTGTGAAGGCCCTGGGTTCAATCCCCACTACTGCAAAAAAATAAAAAGGCTCCATTCAGCCTGATCTCTGCACGGCACCAGCTCCAGCTGCCCCCAGGCACAGCCAAGCCCGGTGGACAGGCTGGTATTCAGCGGCTTCTAGCGTCAGGAATAGGCCACAGTGGGTCTGGACCCACACACCGCCCTGAGCAGCCGGGCCATGTCCGCGCCCCCGTGGCCCCATGTCACAGACATGCCGGGGGAATTTGGCCCCACACGGTCCTCTCCCCTTCACGGTCCGACTCAAGGCACCGAAGCAGTGGAGGACTCAGCTCTCCGCGTGTGCCTGCTGACGAAGCCCAGCACTGGGCTCTTCCCTCCGGCCATCCCTGTCTTCCAGGGTTTTCCTGGCTCCAGAAATACACAGTGCAAGACTGGGTGCTGGTGGGAGGGCTGGCATGGGAGGAGGGGGCCTCCCTCTAGCACCCCGCAGCGGCTTCCCTCTGAGTCCACCACTCCCACAGTCCTGCTTCCCCTGCTGCCTCGAGGCTGAGAGGAGGCCGTGTCTGCACTCATCCTGCACAAATCCAGGGCCACGAGTCCCGCAGGAGCCGCTCCGGGAGCACTGGGCCCTCCCAGCCTCTCCCCCTCTACTCGGACCGTGAGTGAGTGCTCTGTGCTTAGTTTTTCTTTTCGGCTGTCCTCAGCAGCTAACTTTGGAATCCATCCCTGCACTTTCCTGGGCTGACACAGCTTCTAGACCTGGCACACAGGACACATGCTCTCCAGCCAGCCAGCCGGGTGACACTGGAACCTGTGGCCCTTGGCCAACTCTGTAAGTCACCTGTTCACATTGTCCTGACCCAGCACCCACGACTGACTGACTCTTTCACCAAGGCCAAAGCCAGGTGTGCTGGCGCACACCCACCTATGGGATCCCAGCACTCTGGGAGGCTGAGGCAGGAAAGTTCAAACCTGGCCTGGGCAATTTAGTGACTTAGTGAGACCCTGTCTCAAATGAGCTGGTGATGGATGCAGCTCAGTGTGAAGGCACAGGGGCCAACCCCAGTAACCCCTCCCCTAAGAAAGGAGTGAGCAGGAATCAGGACCCCCCAGCTGGACAGCCGGGGCTCAATTTCTCAGTGAAACTGGGTTCCACTCCTCTCACTTCAAAAACATAAGATGCACCTGGAGTTGAAAAAGACTTCATCCCCAAACCCACCGGGAAGATACCGAGGCCTGTGGTTGTTTCAGTGGGACCCGGAAGAGACCCCAGCCTGGCTTGGCTCTGGAGGCCAGCATGGGCTGGGGGCAGGTGGGGCACTCTACACACCACCAGCTACCTGGAATGCTGGGTCTCCCAGGCGAGGGTCCCACTTTCTGTGTGCCACACAGCCTGCACCATCGGTCTTAGACATGGGCCTGGGGTCCCGGGGCAGGGGCCAGCACTCACTCAGGGGTGAACTCCTTCTGGCACAGGGGGCAGCTCCGCAGGGCCAGGGGCTCCTCCTTTGTCAGCTGCTGCAGTGGTCTGGGGGTCCCGCTGAGATCAGACACATGCTGTCCTTCCAGGGATGGGGCGGGGGACCCCGGGGGAACCGCCGCCCCTTGAAACCGCTTATCAGTAAGGCCTGGGCCCCCGCCGGCCGGCGGAAAGGGCGTCCAGGTAAAGGCCTTGGTCCCTACAGTGAAGACCTCAGCGACTGCGGGGAGCTCCGGCCCTAGTTCCTGCAGAACAGGTGCTCGTGAGGCCAGGCCCAAGGGCCCCGCCCGGGCACCTGCAGCCACCCTGCAGTCCCACGGACACACCTGGCTGGGGAAGGTGGGCAGCGGGGGCAGCGGCAGGCGGTCCAAGATCGGATCTGCGCGCACAGCGCGCATGAGCGCGCCCCACGGCTCGCTCTCAACACTGCTGGGCGGACACTGGGGGCCGCCGCTGGGGGCCCTGGGCGTCGCGGGAGCGGCACTGGGGCCTTCGGTAGCGGGAGGCCTGGAGAGTGTCCACAATAGGGATGAGGGGGTGGAGGCGCATAAGGATGGGGGTAGGGGACCCACAGGGGGGCTTGGGAGAGGTCTAGGAGGCTCACAGTGGGGTTCAGAGGGGCTGGGGTGCACAGTGGGAGGCCGAGGGGGCCAAGGGGAAGCGAGCGAGGTCG